ATGATGCCTTGCGCATGTGGCCACAAAGTTGATAGGACGCAATCAACAGTGCTGTGCGCGAAGTGCAATGTACTCTTTCATACGAAATGTGTTGGTATTCTACCGGCAGATGCAGAATTTTTGTTCAGCTCAGACAAGAGCTTCATTTGTAAAGGCTCTTCTGAAGCTCGTCGTGATTCCCTCCGTTCGCCTCCTCCGCCCGTTGTCGTGGATGAAAATTCAAAAACTTCTAATATCACCAAATCTATCTCTTCGAACTCTTCTAACTCTGTGAAATCAAAGCCCGCTGGCTCTTTAAAGCTAAATGGTAATTCAAATGATAATACAAATACCAATAAGCAACAAGTTACATTGGGATCTCTATACAATGTGGTTGTCGCTCTTCGAAATGAGAATGCCCGCGTGAATAATCTGATCAGTGCTTTACGGGAAGATAACAATAATTTATTGTTAAAAACTGAAAACATTCACTCAGATCTTCTTTCCATGCAGCGCAATCTGCTTGAGAAAGATGATACGATTGCCTTACTCATGGCAGAGGTTAAAGACCTTCGCTCCTCTATTGGTGTTGCTGTTGAGAAGTTTGGCAGTGATAACGCAGCTGTAAAAGAAATTATTGCAGCTAATCGCGCTCTTTTTCTCTCGTCGCATACTTCTCGTGCTGCTTGTTCTTCGAATGTCGCTTGGTCATCCGCTGATACACACAGGCAGCTGACTTTTCGGCGCCAACTGCTACTGCAGTTTCCACTGATGCTCTCTCTGTTGATGCTCGCTCACCTGCTTCTTCGGCTGTCGCTGCTAATTCTCTATCTGCTGATAATGCTTGGTCATCTGCTGATACAAATTCGCACACTGAGATGTCGGCACAAAAAANACTCTCTCACCTGCTACTGCAGTTTCCACTGATGCTCTCTCTGTTGATGCTCGCTCACCTGCTTCTTCGGCTGTCGCTGCTAATTCTCTATCTGCTGATAATGCTTGGCCATCTGCTGATACAAATTCGCACACTGAAATGTCGGCACAAAAAAATGTTGTTGCCTGCACTGACCCTAAAGTGAACACTGCTGCTTGCTCTATGCGCTCTACACACACACATGCTAAGTTTTCGGCCCCAGCTGCTGACGTCTCCAATGATGCTCTCCCACCTGCTTCTATTGCGCCTACTGCTGAGGTTAATNCTGCTTGCTCTATGCGCTCTACACACACACATGCTAAGTTTTCGGCCCCAGCTGCTGACGTCTCCAATGATGCTCTCCCACCTGCTTCTATTGCGCCTACTGCCGAGGTTAATGATAATGCACAGTGGTCGACAGCTACGAATAAAGGAACAAAAAACAAGTGCGTGTTTTCGGTACAAATGCATGTAATGATTTGGACGTTGCGGTCCGGCATAAATGGTTGCAATTAGGTTCTTTCTCGGCTTCCGTATCTGAGGATAACATTAAAGATTATGTTTTTAAGCAAACTGGTTTAGATAAAAATTTGTTATCCTGCTTCAAACTGGTTAAGAAAAATGTCCCAGTATCAACTATTAAGCCTGCGCCCGACACACGGTTCCAGCCAGACCTTTTTAGTTTTCAATTGTAAATAAAGTATATTAATATTTTAGCTATCGACTTGCGCCTCCAGGTACCTTCCTAAAATTTTATTAGCTATCGAATGATGAAAAAGTTCTAGAACGAAATGTTTTTAAATAGGATGTTATAAGCATATCTTGAAATATCTACCTCGCACCGACACATGGTGTCTGGACAGACCCTGATACATTTTGTAAGGCAACGTGTGAGATTGAAGAATTTTGTTCATTCAAAACGGTATTTTTTACTTTTTCTCTTCTTCTCTTCTTTGTATTCTATTCAGTTGACAACTGAACATTGAACGGAGAACAACCTAGCAGTTATAAAAAATACATATAGCGCGCAAAATATTTTTTCTTATTTTTACTAAGTGTGAATATGGATGATGAAGTGGAATTTGTTTATAATACGCTGTTAAGAGGAAGAAATGTAAACACCGATTTTTATTCGCGTTTGTCTTCGGCTTTGTTAAATGATATACAACGTGAAAATACCGATGTAGGTGTAAATGAAGATGACATCGATAACGATACTGAATACGTGCCTGAAGGTGAAGCATCGGACGTTGAAGACGAAATGGTAATCGAACCAAATGAAATATTTGATAGTGATGAAGAAGTAGAGGAAGAATCGAGTGAAATGCATAACTTTCAACAACAAAATGATTTTTTTTACGGTAAAGACGGCACGAAATGGAGCAAAAATGAGCCAAATGCTAATGTTCGTTTACGGCAACACAATATTTTGCGTTTCCGACCTGGACCTAAGCAACAAAACTCTAACCCCATTGAGGTATTCAAAAATTTTTTTTCACCAAATATTTCATTGTTATCATTACCGAAACAAATCGATATGCAAGAGATGCCACACGAAAATGGAATGAGGAAAATCCGGGATCAAAACCACGAGTGTGGATTGATTTGACCAGCACTGAACTTGATGCACTTATTGGCATACTTTTGGCGTCTGGTGTTTCACACAATAATATGCAAGATTCATCAGTTTTGTGGCGTTCCGATGCTTTACCTATTTTTCGCTCAGCAATGTCTTATCGACGATTCCTTGAATTGACTCGATTTATCCATTTCGATGATGGTCGTACGCGTGAATTTCGACAAAGCACCGATAAAGCGGCACCAATTCGAGATGTATGGAATTTTTTGAATGAAAATCTTTACAAAAACTACGAACCCCATGAAAACATTATTGTTGACGAGCAACTCTTTCCATATCGTGGTAGAACAAAATTTACTCAATTTATACCATCAAAGCCAGCTAAATATAGCATAAAAGTTTGGTGGGCTTGCGATTCAAAAACAAAATATCCACTGCAAGGTAAATTGTACACGGGAAGAGGCGAAGGCGAAGAGCGCGTAGTGAAACAAGGTGAGAATGTTTTGCTACAATTTGCAAACCGATATAGTAATAGCGGTCGAACATTTGTTGCCGACAATTTTTTCACCACATTGGAAGGAGCTAAGAGACTCGCCGCCATCGGTCTTGCATTCGTCGGCACCATTCGATCTAATAAAAAGTGCCTTCCTGCTGAAATTAAAAAAAAATCCTACTCGCCCTGTGCTTTCGTCTCTTTTCGGTTTTCATGAAAATTTGGTCTCGCTTTGTAGCTACGTGCTAAAAAAGAACAAAGCTGTGAATTTACTTTCCACGGTCCATTATACAAAAAATTGTGAAGGCGAAGCAATGAAACCAAAAGCGATTTTGTTTTATAATTCAAATAAAGCTGGTGTCGATTGCATGGACCAGATGGTAACTCATTACACGTCGAAACGGCCAACTAGACGATGGACTTTCGCTTTCTTTTGCAACATGCTAGATGTTATGGCATTGGCTGCTTATTGTATTTGCAAAGAAGTAGATGGTCTCACCAGAAATGACGCGCGACGCAAATTTTTGACTACGCTATCCACCACATTGGTTCTGGCAAACATCGACAACCGAATGAACAATATTCACATCATTTCGCAGTTCAGCACTCGTTTGGCTTTTGAATCGTATTTTGGTAGATCAATCAATCTTCCAGGAAACACGTTGACAATTCATAAAGCTGGAACTGATACACTCGCTGGCAAGAGGGACTGCAGACTTTGTTTGCAAGGAGAAGATAAGCGGCGCCGAAAAACTTCCTTTTTTTGTTCAATGTGTTCAAATCCAGTGTGTCAACAGCATTCAAAAATCGCATATACATGCCTCAGCTGCGTGCCTAACAACCTATAAGAGAACTCGTTCGATATTTCATAATAAAACTCAATGAAATTCCATTTCGTTTGTTCAAATGACAATGATATTATTTGAAATACTATAGAAAAAGTTTTTTTCAAACCGAAATACGTTTTAGATTTGTTTTTTTCAGTAAGGTAAAAAATAAAAAATATATATCTGATTGATAAAATGCGAAAAAAAACGAGTTTTATTTTCATAAAATGTATATAAATACGTAGGGGTCCAGCCAGGCATCATGTGTCAGTTGAAAGGTACATGGAACATGTGTCAGACGGAGGGTTAAGAGAGTTAATTTTAAGTTGGGAGTTCCGGAATCCTCGTACGCGAAGTTGCTGAGCTCGTGGTGTAAATGGTTTTGAATATGTGTCACAATATGTATCACATAGGTTGCCATCTTTTTAAAAGGTTAAATTCAAACTATTCAATATTTTAAATGATTATTATAATATGGGTATCAATCGAAATGGGGTTTCAAGGGCTTCATTTCAATATTACATGTAAGAGGTTTCCATCTGTTTAAAATCTCAAATTCAGTTAAAGGGATACGTTAATTGAAAAAGTATGACAAAGAAAGTTTTTGTTTGAAAATATTTTGAAGATGGTTAAACAAATTTTAAACCTCCTGTTTTTTAATTGAGTTTTCTTGAAATAAATTTTACTCAATCAAGCACGTAGAAATTTCATACACTCAGCGAAGCGGGTGAGGGCGATCTAGTCTCTTATAATTTTACTGAAATCTATTCAGTAGTTTTTGAGTTAAGTCTGAACAACGAAAACTGCTATTTTTTCATACTAGTATCGCCCCGTTGTCGAAATTCGACCACCTCACTTTGTCATACACTTTCAATTTGTTTGTGGCGCTTTTTATGTCCATGAGCACCTTTCGATCGTCCACGTCACTAATAGTATTAGGGGAGTGATATATTTTCCATTAAATAATTCTATAATCCATAAGAGCAGTAGGGAGGAATAGATTAGTATGGGATTTTGTTAGCGTGTTAATATAAAGATAGTAGAAGGTGAAACAAAAGCGGGCATTCATAGGCTTATACAGAAATCGGAATAACTCGGCTCTTGAGCCACCTGTCGGGTCCATTTTTCGCAGGTATATTTCCCTTGATGTTAGTAATATGTATTTTGAATTTGAAGCAAATCGGAGCATACATGAAATTTTTCGGAATAACTCGACTCCTACGGCACCTAGCGGAAAAACAAACAAAATGCGCATTTCTATTGATGTTAGTAATACGTATTTTTAATTTGAAGCAAATCAAACCATAAATAAAATTTTTCGGAGTAACTCGACTCCTGCACCACCTAGCGGAAGAAGAAACAAAATGCGCACGTCATCTTTGAAACATCTTTCGTACAAAGAAACAACCTTTCAAATCAGTTGAGAAACATAGGAGCAGTAGGGAGGAATATATTTGTATGGGATTTCGTTAGCGTATTAATACCCTGTAGGAAAAACATGAGCTAGTGAACCAGATTTCTAGTTCAGTACTAGTTCTTTTTCGACAAAAACGAACCAGACCGATAGTAAATAGTTCCGTAACAGTCCAAAAGCAGCGAAATGTGGTACTTTCACTAAACTATTTTATTTTAAATTTTAAAAGCAGGGAAGGTAATCATTATGAGTAAAATAATTAAATCAGCATTTAATCATTATTTTATGAATTATTATTGAGTTTTATTTTTTCGCTCCAACGGAAATAATTATAATTTGATTTTTATTTTTGGGATCAAAAATAATGATTATTTTATGATTTTTATTTTTTCGCGCAGAGATTATCATTAATTTTGATTTTTATTTCTCCACTTAAAAATAATGATAATTTTTTAAACTGAAAAGGCCATACAGACGCAACCTACTGAAATTTTGATCTGAAAAGTTTGGGTCTTATTCCTTTTATAAGGGTGCGGCTACCTCTCAAAAGGATACGTCGGTAATCACGCTGGTATAGTTTCTGAGTTGCTTAATAATCATTATACTTAGTGATGCCATAAACATAGGCTAAGATCCTGGAGGACAATTGAGAATGGCAATG